CAATGAAGAAGAAAAGGAGGAACAAACTAGGGCTACTTATCGGGCGGATTGTTACGCTTAACGGTTCGTCTTATCGGTTATCGTCTCGTAAATGTACTAATCCGCTAGCCAAACCGATAAGATATCAGACGGACTGGTATCGGTTTCGCGATTATCGGGCGGTTATCGGGCGATTTATCGGCTAAATTAAATAGTAATGAGTGCATATACCACTTGACATTAAATCACCAAATTTAAATCTTAAATTCAACCCGTTTATATAACACTGTCATCATGCCCGCATTTCTAGAAGTCACTAACTGGAAATTTATATTTTCTCCTTAGAAGATCTGGTCATAATGGATATAGTCATATACTAAATTAGTGTTGCATAGGGCTCTTTTCTTTATGCTATTGCATCAAGCCATATAGCCATATGCAAGTGCATTTTCACAACCGGCAGAAGTCACAAGAATTTGAAAGTGAATTTTCAATAGTCTAATACCACTAAGTTAATATCTGTCATAAAACAATAATAGTTAGTATCTTAGTGAACCTTCTGAACGTGAATAGTAACTGCTACTTTGTCAAATAGTTTGTCAAATATAACTGCTACTTTGTCAAATATAATTTTTTTTAACAGTTTAACGGTTTATCCGTTAAGAAAATTGAATAATCCGTCCCCAAACCGATAAGCCGTTAATTATAAAATTTCAATCCGTTCACTAATCATTAATCCGATAACCCGATACCAATAAGCTATTAAACCAAGTTTGCGGTTCAATTTTCGGTTACGGTTCGGTTTTGAACGGCCCTGCAATCGTGGTACTTAACTACTTTGTTAAGTTAGATAGATTACCTTAATCTCACATTAATTATACCAATACGAGTTTTATGGTCAAAATTATGTAATTTGATAATCCAATTACTTGGCACTATTCCATTTAACCATTATTAAACATTTTGATTGTAGAATACCTTTTTTTAAAAAAGGTAAAACATTATATGGCCCGACTATCAAAAGTCAAAGCAGCTTCAATGCTTAATAAACTTCTTAACAATTTGAGTTCTACTTTTTCCAATTAAAGTTAAATTAAAATAAATCAGAAGGATTTCACTCTGGTATCCCTTTTGGGAGGTTGCTTGCCTTTTACAAAAGAAGCGCCAAAGGAATTGGATCCACAGACAGAAGTGGAAAACGCAAATAACTGTCCTCTAGTTTAGTCTATGCCTTCACTTACGCTAAGATTTAGTTTTTCTGGTTTCCCACGTTCACGTTGCTGCTCCACTCCCACTCCCAAACTCTCTTCTTTCACCTCTTTTCAGGTAACCCGTCCTTCTCTCTCTGGAAGTGTGTGCGCGTATAATTGTTTTTATTTGTTTGTAAGTTTTTTTCTGGGGAAATTTTTTATGTATATTCGCCCATTCATCTGTATATCTGAAATTTTATTGGGTGTGCTGCGATTTTTGTAATGAATCAGTTCTGATATACATTAGCTTTTGTCTGTTGAAATTGGGGTGATCAAAATGAACTTGGGCTGATTTGGCATTTTTAGATCTTTCTACTTGTAGATTGTAAGGTTTTTCTTTTTCTCTGGTGCTTTTATTAGGCAAATTCAACTAATTTTCTTTAATTGCTGAAATCGCTGAAATTATAAGTGAATTCATTTATATTAAGTTCAGAATATTGTTAAAGAAAAATGTCTTAAAAATGTAGTGATAGTTCTAGAAATATTCCTAGCCCCTTTGCCAAATTCAAGTTTGTTCCAGCAGATTTCATCTTAAATTTGATTTGTATCTTGATTTTGTACAGAGCGGAAAGTATTTAACTTTTTTTTTATGCCTTGATACCTAAGCTTGCTATTGTGATTTGGGTTAGCTTAAAATTTGATCAGCTTTTGTTCAGTCCAGTCGATGAAGCTGACCTGCCATTCAGCTGTGTCAATAGAACTCCAAAACAGCCTGATATATTGGCTGAAACTCTTAACTGCAAGTGTCACAAACCCAAGTTATCCAAACTGCTCAACATATTTGTTCGGTCAAGCTTGACTGTAGAAGTTGTGTTTCTTAGTCATTCCTTTATCAAATTGAAAGCTAATCAGGTTTTGCATTTTCCAAATTAAAATGCTCTTGTCAAGCTTTATATGTTAAAGTGGATGATATGATACATAGACAACTTCCTTAAAAAAAAAAAAAAAAAAAAAGGACACATAGACATCTTCCGGCATTTTAAGCGGTCAAGATTGATATATGAATGAATATGATTTATCCATAAAACATTGGTCAAAATTGATATTTCAAAGTGTTTAACATTAGTGGAATGTTTATTCATGATTCGTTCTATTCTATGTCCAAAGATTTAGCTGCACTTTATATTTGTTCAAACTCAACTCTGGCAAGAGATCTTCTAGACGTTGCTTGGTTTGAGACCCTTCAAGTTGCTTTCTCTTAATTTCCCATTTCATTCATGCTTCTAGCTTAACAGACCATTATATGCAAGACAGATTAGAAAGAAAGGAAAATTGCATGTTTAGATGACCTTAGTAACTGATGGTTGAAAGCTGAGCCAATGTGCTCCATATGAATGCTTCGATACTTCTCTTTCTCCTATTCACTTGTTAATTGCCGTCTTTGCATGTGGAATGTAATTTGATGCAAAACATGCACAAATTTCGTTTACTAAGGGCAATTACTTGCTCCAGGCACCTTTAGTCTCTAGTGTTGTTTGGTTTTGAGATAAGTGATGTATTTAAGTGGGACTGGCCTAATTAGTCCAGCATGTGGTTTCATGGACTCATGGTAATTTTGTTTTCATATGGATAGCTAAAATCTCCTCATCACTGTCCCATCCTCGTCCTTTAAGTATAATCTGGCTGTGATTTGATCCTACCTACTCCTGTAGCTAACCAAAAGCTCCAATGGGTTTTTTTGAGATCATTAATTGATTATGACATGACGTGACGAGGAGACAGAGAATTGATTGTGCTACATTAAGAAAGAGTTAGCTGCTGTTTGCTTCTGACCTGCTATAGGCATATTTCTTGTTGACAAGAGCTTTCTCTTTTTTACTTTCAATGATAAGTTGAAAAATGATAGAAACTAGGCCTTCAAGGGAATCTGTGTCTTCTAGCTTAGAAAATAGAAGCTTACTAGCTTGTTTAACGCCATTTTCAAGACGAAGAAGATGCCCGAAGATTGGTGGGGGAGTTTGATGATTCCATTGTACAAAAACAAAGGTGATATCCAGAACTGCAACAACTCTAGGGGGTATCAAGCTGCTGAGTCACACTATGAAGGTTCGGGAGAGGGTGGTGGAGAAGAGAGTGAGGACATGTGTATCTATCACTGAGAACCAGTTCGGATTTATGCCAGGACGGTCAACTACAGAAGCCATTCACCTTGTGACGACGATTGGTGGAGCAGTATATGGAGAGGAAAAAGGACTTGCACATGGTGTTCATTGACCTTGAGAAGGCTTATGACAAAGTCCCGAGGGAGGTGCTCTGGAGATGTTTGGAGGTTAGCGGAGTCCCGGTAGCGTACATTAGGGTGATTAAGGACATGTACGAAGGTGCTAAGACTCGAGTGAGGACTACGGGAGGAGACTCAGAACATTTCCCTGTGGAGATGGGGTTGCATCAGGGATCAGCCCTTAGCCTGTTTTTGTTTGCCATAGTGTTGGATGTGCTGACACGACACATACAAGGGAGGGTGCCATGGTGTATGTTATTTGCTGATGACATAGTACTGATTGACGAGACGCGAGGGGGTGTTAATGCTTTGTTGGAAGTTTGGAGACAGACGGTAGAGTCCAAAGGTTTCAAGTTGAGTAGGTCGAAAACTGAATATTTGGAGTGCAAGTTCAGTGATGAGAGGCAAGAAGAAGAAGTGGAAGTAAAGATTGATACTCAAGTCATTCCCAAAAGAGATAGTTTCAAGTATCTTGAGTCTATAATCCAAGGCAACGGGGAGATTGATGAGAATGTTACTCACCGCATTGGAGCGGGTTGGATGAGATGGAGGCTAGCTTCGGGGGTTTTATGCGATAAGAATGTGCCGCCTAGACTTAAGGGCAAATTCTACAGGGTGGTGGTTAGACTGGCTATGTTGTATGGAACTGAGTGTTGGCCCGTCAAGAAGTCCCATGTCCAGAAGATGAGCGTAGCTGAAATGAGGATGTTGAGATAGATGTGTGGACATACCAGGAAAGACAAGATTAGGAATGAAGTTATTAGGGACAAGGTGGGAGTGACATCCATGGAAGACAAGTTGCGGGAATCGAGGCTGCGATGGTTTGGACATATGAGGAGGAGAGACATAGATGTCCCGGTCAGGAGGTGTGAGAGGTTGACCATGGCGGGTTTGAGGAAGGGCAGGGGTAGGCCAAAGAAGTATTTGGGAGAGATGATTATGTAGGACATGTCGGTGCTTCACCTAACCGAGGACATGACTAGCGATAGGAAGGTGTGGAGGTCGAGGATTAAGGTGGTGGGTTGACAGGTAGTTGTGAGTTTCTCCTAGGTTTACTAGTAGTACTAGTAATATTCTTGTTACTGGTTGAAAGATACTTTCTTCTAGTTTGTTATTATATCTGGTACTTAGCAACCACGTCCATTGTTTTTGAAAATTGCTACTGGAAATTGTTGCTCCCTGATTATTACTATTTGATACTACTTTTTCTCCCCTTTTTCCTCGTCTTTTGTCTCCCTCTTCTTTCTTTCTTCCTCCTCTTTCTTCTTCTTCTTCCCTTTTCTTCCTTTCCACCTTTTCTTAAGCCGAAGGTCTATCGGAAATTGCCTATCTACCGCTCCAGGTAGAGGTAAGGTCTGCGTACACACTACCCTCCCCAGACCCCACCTGTGGGATTATACTGGGTATGTTGTTGTTGTAATGCTTCCTTTTTGTTTCTCTTAGTTTTGTGTATGGATGTGCATTCCAGAGGATAGGCAACTTCTGTAATACTTCTTAAGTTTACTCACTTTTCTTCTCCTGCTTCTTTCTCTTGTTTCAGACTGAAGTTAATTTTAGATCAATCATGGATCGGCTAACCAGTGCTGCACGTCTCATGATAGTCTCAGATCTTGACCATACCATGGTGGGTTGTTGTAGTTCGCCTTTCTTCCTTATGCTGCTATAACTTATGTGAGGCTTTCTTTACAGGTCGATCATCATGATCCTGAGAACCTTTCTCTGCTTAGGTTTAATGCTTTATGGGAGGCCAATTATCGTGAAAACTCCTTGTTAGTGTTCTCAACTGGGAGATCACCTACCCTTTACAAGGAGTTGAGAAAAGAGAAGCCCATGCTAACCCCAGATATTACCATTATGTCCGTGGGGACTGAAATAGCTTATGGTAACTCTATGGAGCCAGATGATGGTTGGGAAGCTTTTTTAAATAATAAGTGGGATCGGAAAATAGTGACAAAAGAGACGAGCAAATTTCCTGAACTCACCCTTCAGGTACAGCTTATGTTTGAGTCATTTTATATATTGCTTCACGAAGTTTAAATTTTGATACCAGAATTTGCAAACCACTTTCGATGTAAAACTAGTTTGTATGCTGGATATTGTTATTGTAATTGATGTCTCATATATCTACTTCTTTTCACCCTTCAGTCAGAAACAGAGCAGCGACCTCACAAGGTCAGTTTCTATGTTCAGAAAGACAAGGCTCAAGATTTAACAAGAACACTTTCCAAGCGCTTGGAAGAATGTGGGGTATCATGCCACTTTACACTTCTAGATTATGGCACAATATGATGTCCCTTAAAAGTAAAATCGGAGCATGTACCTGTTGTCGTGCTGCAGTGAGCAGAATTTTTTATAATGTTTCATATCTTTTTGTTCCGATTTTAATATTTCTTTATTTACCATTAGTTGGATATCAAAATAATTTATAGCGGAGGGATGGATTTGGACATTTTGCCACAAGGTGCTGGCAAAGGACAAGCACTTGCATATTTGCTTAAGAAATTAAAGGGCGAGGGCAAGTTGCCAAACAACACGCTTGCCTGTGGTGACTCTGGAAATGATGCTGAGCTTTTCAGTATCCCAGATGTTTATGGTGTGATGGTCAGTAGTTTAGCTACTTCTCCAATTTATTTTTTTATGATCTTATGATTTATTGCTTATATTTTGAGTTCAGAATTGCTCTAAAAATCTAGACTCACTTTGCAGGTAGCAAACGCACAGGAGGAGTTATTACAATGGCGTGCTGCAAATGCAAAAGATAATCCAAAAGTAATTCATGCAACAGAGAGATGTGCCGCGGGTATAATACAAGCAATTGGGCATTTCAACCTGGGACCAAATACCTCTCCTAGAGATGTTACAGATATGTCAGACTGCAAGATGGAGAATTTTGTTCCTGCTTATGAAGTCGTCAAATTTTACTTGTTTTTCGAGAAATGGAGGCGTGGAGAAATTGAGAATTCTGACCTTTCTTTGTCAAACCTGAAAGCAGTTTGTGTATGTTAAGTACCCTATACCTATTTTAGTGTTGTTGTCTTCTGTCGAATGATTGTGGTAATTCTCTCTTTGAGAATTATAGATGGATGCGAGCTTCTTTTCTTTTCATTTTTTTCTTTTTTCTTGTCTTTCTGGCTTGCTTTCCAAATATAGATTCTAACTAGATCTTAATTTCAACACTGCTAACAGCCTCTCCTGCTGCCATATAGAGAAAAAAATTGTTAATTTTCCTTTGCTTATATGACTATAAAGTGACCAAACTGATGAGTTTCCGGTATCCTATGCTCTTCATTTCCTTTCTCTCTCTCTTTCCTTCATTTTCTTCTTGTTATTCGATTGAGTCAGTTGAGAAGGGGTAGAGGCTGTGGGTGGGTTGCCTGAGTTTTTGTTATTCCCTAATGCCTTTCTTTTATGACAATCCGAATTTTCTAACTCTTTTGTTGCTGCAGAGACCATCTGGTACTTTTGTGCACCCATCTGGAGTTGAGAAATCTCTTGAGGACTGCATAAATACATTGAGAACGTGTCACGGTGACAAACAGGGTAAACAATTTCGTATTTGGGTTGATCAAGTCTTACCTACACAGGTTGGTTCAGACTCATGGTTAGTGAGTTTCAAGAAATGGGACCTTTCTGGTAAGTGTCTTTTGCCTCATTAGACGGTCTTTTATTTTTCTTTCTCCATTTCTCATGTCTCGTTTGACTTGATTTTATACAGTCCAGCTGAAGCTTTCCCCTACACGGCTTTGGCTGCAATTGTCTGTGACCGCATTCAGAAAATTCTTTTTACCCCTTCCTTTATGTGCTCATATCACGGGTGGCTCAAGCACTGTTTCATTAGACCTGCCTCTCTTTCTATGAGTGATGTTTGATTATTGTGATTCTGTAAAGGAGGTGTATTAATTAACTGCTGCTGAAGATGTGCTACAATTGGGGTTGTGCTTTCAGCACAGAGACCAGCCCTGTTTTGGAACTTTTTGATGCGTCAAGCTAATTATATCTAACCATTAAAAAAATGGCTCTTTCTACCAAACTCTTCCCTGGCTCCCGTATTCTCACACAAAAATCTGCACAGATAGATAGCCCTGCAACCACCACTATAGTCTACTATATCTACACTGATATTGTGCCTTGTCCAAAAAGACGTTTTGAGCACTTACCATAGTCTGTATCATGCACCTCTATAGCATCAGTGCCAAATAAGCCTCAGAATGAACATTTAAATTTGCAGCAAATAGAGGGGGAATAATATGATGATTGAGGTGTCTAACCTTTTCCATATTTGAGTTACTTTGTAGTGGAAGCGTTTTGATATTAGTATTTGAGCCTCCATTTTTCAGATTATGGTGCACACCATGTGAACTACTGCTCCTTAGCTTTTGACATTTGAAATTTTGTTAAGATGCTCCAGGAAGATTAGAAAAAAAGTTGAGTTATAAACCAAAGAGGCACCCTGTTATCCTATTTGATTCCACAGTAGGTTGAGTGCATGTAATGATGTTGGTTCAGAATTCATGTTATTAAGCAGGAGTACTTTGATCAAGTCTTTAATGGCTTATTTTTGATCGACCTAGTTGCCAAGCTTCTCTAGATGTTGGTACTTGCGCTCACCTACCACACTGTTTTAAGCATTCTCCTGGAGGAAAATTGCCTCTGTATTCATATATAATCAAGTGATTATAGAAATGAAATGTCTTAAAACAGTGTGGTAGGTGAGCTCAAGTGATTATGAAAATGACTTATTTTCTGCACGAATGTTAATACTTATGTGATCCACCTTTTCTTTCTGTTCGGCTCTTATTATTTCTAATATTGTTTTTTACAATATGCTGTTTCTTGCAGGCGAAGAGCGACAATGTTGCATAACTACTGTCTTGTTAAGTTCAAAGGTGATGTTTGTTAAAGGATCATTTCACTTATATCTTACAAGCCAAACCTGTTATAATTTGCTTTTTGCTTCCAGAATGTGACGGTCGCGGATGGGCTCACTTGGACACATGTGCATCAGACTTGGCTGCAAGGAGCAGCAGCAAGTGGCTCTGCGACCTGGTTGTTTTGAAATTGTCATCAGATGACCAGCCCGACTGAATAAGCACAAAATCATATTTTAGCTATAAGCATCGATAGGCCCCCTAAATACCTCTGTTTGCGGCCCTCTCTGTTTCTTACCCTGCTTGTTGTCATTCTTCCTTGATGATGAATGTATTACCATCTAAATCCATGAAGATGGTTAATCATTTAGGTAATAATTAGTGTTATCCTTTTTGACAATTGTAGCTGTCAAGTAACTAAGAGAGTCACAAATAATAAGCGCCTCTGTACATCGTGATATTTCAATTTGGATTGCAACATGAATATAAGTTCTTACTTGAAAAGAAAGTCTTTGTTTAAGCTTGCATTGTTGTATTTTGTTTTTCACATAGCTAACAGGGAGTAGGAAAGACCTAATAGGTTGTGTGAGCTGTCAGAATTTGAGTTCAAACAACTTGCATCAGTGCACTAACATCTGTTGAACATGCAGAGGTAAATTTAGGAGTTTCTACAGGGGTAGGACAACAATAGAATGCAAATTGTCGATGAAATTTAGTACCCCTCTGTTTTATTTTGTGTCTTAGTTTGACTAGGCACAAAGTTTAAGAGAGTAAGGAAGATTTTTGAATCTTGTGGTCTTAAATTAAAATGTGTATAACGTACCAACGATGCTCTTTGAATCTTGTGGTTAAACATGCCGTGTCATTCTTATAAGGAAGTGTGGTTAGGGATAAAATGAGTTTGTTGGAATTAAAGGGTTACCAAATATAGAAAATGACATACTTTTTGGAGCATACTGCAAAGGAAAGTAAGATATATAAATTGAAACAGAGGAAGTAATATACATTTAACCATATAAGTAAGATAACAACGTCAAATTAAAAGTTCATTTTTGTAATTATGCTCTTTGTTCAATGGTGTTAAACCAAATGGCAGCTCAAAATTAGCCGGTGCCAATTTCAGCTTAAATCTTGGGTTAAAATTAGCTCACAAGCGTTTCTTTGATTAATTGTTATGCATTTGAGAGCAGTTAAGTCAGTTAGTCACAGTTGATGGAGCACATGTTAATTGCATGAAGTGAAAAGAGTCCGATTTACACTCTCTCAGAGAGCAGCATAACTGAGACGAGTGAGTTACAATGGAGTATTTAGTCAACACCAGTTGTATTGCATGAGAATTGGGATATAAATATATGTTATAGTTCATTCCGAAAATTTCACAGAACCTCTCTACTTCCTACCAAGGCGCAAGAGGCTTCTCAAGCTTAAGTTGAATCTTTGAGGTCTTTCGAGATCTCTTAATTCAGTTGCTTCATATCGAACTCATCCGAGATTATGAATTATCTATCAGTTGGTAGCGAAGACGATTGCCTTCACAATATGACGGAAAATGCCTAAAGTGACTCGATGAGATGAGGAGCCTGCCTGCCAAGGATATACTAAAGCTCAAGGAGCTTGTGCAACAACTTTCAGAGTGGCGACTGAATTGAAGACTTCCAGCTAGGAATTGAAGAAGAAAGTAAAGTGGAGGAACAACATCACGTATGCAAATTCTGGGGTCTGCACAAAACCTAAACACTCCATTATGATGGATTCTGGAGGTAATTCTCTAGCTTAAGACTCCTACTCTGAGTGCTTAATTTTTCTAGGCTATCTGAATTAGATTTTTTTTGAAGTTTAATTAAGAGGATCATGATAGAAGGCGAAAAAGGTCTATCTGCTTTTGTGATAAAAAACATGTGTTATGACATATGAGCAAGGGTTCTAAACAGGTTTATTTTCTGAAGGAGGATTTGAGTGGAGAATAGATTGCCTAACTTGTGAGGAACAAGAGGAGTCTAACTCATCTGTTATGTGAGAGCATCTTTATATGTCACTCTATTTATATGTCACTCTATGCTATGAATGTTGTTGCTCCCAAACGCACATGCAAGCATACGTGGTCGTACAAGTAATAAAATGATAAGTTGTGTGTCGAACCCACAGAGACTTGTATCAACTATCCATTAAATTCACCAAGATTGTTATTCAGTCGAGCCAATTCGAGTTCAAGAGTTTAATTATACTAAACTATAATTCTAAGTAGTAACTAAATTATCAAGCAGCAAAACGGTTATTGTGTATTCAGTAGAGATAATATTACAGGGTTGTGATCGATTCACCAATCCTATTGTGTTCTAATTAACTCTCCATTTCATACAATTCACTCATGGTTGCTAATTAATCGAACAATTTCTCTCATAGCCTTCTCCCGAAGTACTACTTGCCTATTCAAAATAGATTAACGCCTATATTCCTATGAAATCAATCTATTAAGAACGCATTAAGATTACGATATTTAATTAAGCATGGTGACTAGGTATAGTCCTATCCTAACCACAAATTCGCCCCCCTCAGAGTTAAGATCATGCTCTCTTCAATTTTTCTCTAATCTAAACATGGTGTCACGCCCCAAACTCAGGGAGCGCGACCGGCGCTTAACCGAGAGAACCCGATCGAGCAAGCCTATTAGATTTCATTCTACCCAAACTCATCCATGAATAAAAGGGAGATGTACTCCATTAATCAAACACTGAAAAGATTTTATTAACAACTTCCTTTTCATTCCCATTAGCAGCTTCAATCATAATTTTCAAAATATTACGAGTTTATAGAATTAATGATAAACATAACTTCCAAATACCAACATTTCTAGTTCAATTCCCAACATCAACCCCAACCCACAACCTGTCTACGGAGCCTCTAAGTACAATAGAAGAGTAATATGAAAATGCCGGCAACAAGGCCCCGGCTATACCTCGAAACACAATACATGAGAAACAAAAGATACATGATCCCAAAATGAAGTGGGGCTCACCAAATCAGTTGAAAAGAGTGTACTGCTATCACTGATCAATGCCGCCTGCTGTAGAACCACCTGCATCCATTAAAGATGCAGCGCCCCCAGCAAAATGGACGTTAATACTGTCGAATAGCACTAGTATATATAGCTAAAAGTCCTTTTTCAAAATAGAATGCTCATATAAGAAAAGACAACACATAGAAACAACAAGTCACAATCAACAATATCCAAATGTTCAGTTAAAACATAATAATTTTCAAAATACGAACTTCATATACAATTTTGGTTGGAAGATCATTAGCACCGATATACCACCATCTTTGTTAGCACGGAGTCCGATCACGCCCGATCGGTTAGGCCATCTCCCCACGAACAATGTGGTTTGACATATGATGCGAAAGAAAGTTGTTACTAAGAGTAGTACCACCATATGCGCAATATGACGTCTGATCTCCACCCGATCAGCTAGGCCGCCTTCCCACATATGCCGTGTGGGTTGACTTTTCCAATTAATAATTGTTACCAGTTTCATCCCAATTAAGGGAAATAATATCACAATTTATCCAATATTTCAATTTCATCCCAAATAAGGGGAATAATCACAATCCACCTCTACACCGGCACGTGTATTTTCAGGTGTGGGCCTTATGACCCACCCTTCCTCGGTTTTGCTAATGATGCTCCCAAAAATATTTTTGATTTGATTTGCACACAGAGGTAACACAAATACAATTGTAATCACCTCAACATGTTTCACATTGTATAAATTCTCATTAGTATTTCCAGTCATTCACAACGACAATATTTCCTTGGCTCATTAGGCCATTCACAAGATTCTTTATTCCTGGCACGATGGCCGTATTTCATATTCCACACTTTCACCTCTTTCAATTTCAAGATCACCATCAAATATCAACATATAGAATATTCCGAAAATCACAACTTTAAGTTAATTAGAAATGAACAATTTAAGCACAATAGATTTCTTTCCGAAAAATGAAGTAAATAATTGCAATTGATGCGCAAGTTTAAATCATCAACAAGTGACACCCCATTTATTCTTGAAATACTTTTTCCTAAAAAGGGCAATACACAATTTCCACTCACGAATATGTAAGAATGCAAAACACATTGAAAATACTCACAAAGCATAGTATTTGTTAAAACAACCACATATGGCATGACTTGAGTACAAAAACTTTTAGATAATTCTATTTTCGAAGTCATTTTAAAACAATTGAGTCGAGGCTCATTTCATAATCCTTATCACATATTCTCATTTCATTGGCACCACTAGCCACAACTATAACTTAAATTCGTGGCACGTTGGCCACACTCTATTTCTTTAATTCGCTTATTTCATTTTTAAGCATTTTTAAAGATTATCAACAATAAGACACTTTCAATCAAGACTTTAGGTACACATATGAGTAATTATGAGTCTTAAGCATATCGAGTTTTTCTCACCCAATTGGTATACTAGTTCTCATTTAAAACACGACTCAAAGCCACAACATTTTAATATGCAAATCATACTTTGAGCATCTATCTTTTGACATAAGGCTCATTCGGAATAAACAAGTTTATAGGGAATAATCCGGAATATAGAAGTTAGGAATCTTGAGCCAATCATACTTGATCTTACGGAAATATTATGTATATCTATTCTAAGAGAGAAAGTTTAGCCAATATACCTTGCTTTGAGCTTTTTTTAAATTACTACAACCTTCAGAAAAATTCTAGCAATCCCAATCTATTTTGAAACATAATAAAATTGAACCATAATTAGGAAGATATTCATGGTCTCAGCTCATTTGGGCATTTTATCAAACACTAGGTGTGCAAATTTAACTACAAGGTTCTTCTACAAGATTTCCTTCACTCCACAACCCAATCTTTACTTATTTGAGCTCAACAATCTTCCCACAAACCTTATTAGTACAAGCATGTATAAATAATACTCTTACACCCAAGAATCATACTCTCAATCACCCATCTTTTACCCCAAACTCGAAATTGAAGACTAGGGGTTTGAATCTTACCTCTTAGATGAAGATCGTGTGAGATTTCCTTATTGGATTTTAAAGCTTGGGAAAGATCTTGATGAACAAAACACTTCATCTACTTTCTCTCTCTAGAACACTCTCACTTCTCTCTAAAAAACCTCAGATGATTGCCCCAAAATAAACCCCAAAGCCTATTTATCAAAATGTGGTCGGGTTATGAAAATAAAAAAACTAACCCTCCGAAATCAGGTATGCGGTCGCATAATGGACCACATAATGGCTATGCGGGTCGCACAATGCACCGCAAAATTGGTGCCAAAACATGGGCTGCACTGGTCCATTTTACGACCAGATTGCGGTCGCATAACCACTTCTGTGATCGCATAATGGTCGCAGAATTGATCGCAGAATCGCATTCTGCCAGCCTTTGGTAATTTGGTCATAACTTCTTGTAGGAATGTCCAAATGACGAATGGTTTGAAGCGTTAGAAACTAGACACA